GGGGGGTTTGGTGATGTTGCATTTTGAGGGAGGAGTTGCCGTGGTTACACAGCAAAGGCAGCCTTTCCACTGATTTCTGTGTTTTATGTCTGTGACGACGGAACAGGTGGACCTTCTTCAGCACATTCACGTCTTATAGGTCATTTCAAGGTTACGTGCTGCATCCCTTTCACTGAGATCACACTGAAGCGTTAAGGTGCAGCATCATTGATTTTCTTTTCCATGTAATAATTATTCATCTTCTCAATTAGGGTATACATTTGATTTTTTGGTATTTGCATTTTAACGAAATGCCATGAGTTGCATAAAGAGGACTGATGCTCCGATATGCTTACAATGTTTTTAAAAAGCCGGTTATCTTTTAGCTTCATTTTTTGAAGAGGAGCTAGCTTGGCTCGGTCTGAAAAGTAACACAATATCCACCAGCCTTTGTAAAGATCGCTAACGATTACTGATTTATTTACTCATTAAATAAGTAATAAAAGTACACATTCTAGGTTTGGGTGGGTTGTGTTGGGGTCTTTTTTTGCAGATGTAGGGATTTTCTGGAAAACTTTGTTTACGCTCTTCTGTTTCTTTTACAGATTAGAGATGCAGGACATGGATCTTTTTAAAATGTGATCTAATGAAATCTGAAATCACCATACAAAAAACAAAATCAATGGAAAGCCATTTGGCTTAATTTTAACAAATAATAGGACTAGATATTAATAAAAATGTCATCTGCTGATAGTTTATAGGTCCTGATATTCTGCATTCCCAGTACTAACTAAATAAACAAACAAGATAACATGTAATGTGTCCATTTTGGAGTTGGATTGGGTTGTGATTTGACCGAGCCAGTCCAACAGTTTTCAGTTTCGATGCTACGCTAGCCTATGGCTCAAGCTTCATATGAAAGAGGTTTGGATTGTCTCTTCTTACTCTGGCAATTCCCAAATTGTTGAAGTATAACTAATATCTTGCTTGATTTCTTGGACATTTTTGGTTCCAATACCAAATGGGAAATAAAGGTCATGCATGATGTGCCTTTGATCTTCAGTTTGGGTATATCAACCAATCAAAGCCTTCATGTGACACAACCATCACAGTACAGCCCCGGGGCATGCCATGTTGGCCCCCATGTCAAATAAAGCCACACAACCACTTAGCATTAGTCGACAGGCCGAGAAACGCAATATATCTACATTGGGACAAAGTCCGTGTGACACTAATGCCCTCCTGCTGTATAATAAATCATGATTTACTGACCTCATTGATTGCTCCTCTCCTCCTCACTGGAGCTTCCTCTTGTTAACTAACAGGAAACACAGAGGACGACAGAATTGACTTGAGTAACCTCAGATTATCAATAGTCCAATATTTTGTGGCGACTATCCAATTTGATTCATATTGGTCCAGAGGGTTCAAGCCACATTAGCACATTTGCTAATAGCTTTAACTTCGGAATTAAAATAAGTTGCTTTAAAGGGGACCTATCATGCAAAATGCCCACCCAGTCTCACAAAAAAACGTGTAATAACTACGTTGGTCCACAACGTAGGACGTAGTATTTCTACAAAAACGCCTCTGAAATTGTAAGATCCCTACATCTTTTTTCACCATTCATTCCAATGGCTGGCGTCTATGTCACGTGATCTTCAAATTTCTCCCTGCAGAAAAAAAAAACATGGCCGAACTTTGTTTTATTCTCGATGGGAAATGTCTATTTTAAAGTTAGTTTGGCCATTAAAATGCGTTTTGATGTCATTTGATGCGAAAAATATAAGTTGTTATTTCAGATTATGTGTGCAGTGGATGTACATGATCTTTAGTTTGCTAGTTATTACGAAGATTACTTCAGGAAATTGTGTCTATACAACGTTTTCATTGTTACCAAGGTGGTTGCTAGGGACGCTGCTATCGATATTATTTCTGTTGTGTAACTGTTTAATGGTGTTATCTTTATTGCTACCCCCTTCCCTGTTAATGAATAGTGTTGGCCCACAGCGCAAACGTATTAGTTTAACAAAATCCACATCTAAAATTGTGTCATAGATACGTTATTTTCCCCTGTGCAATTCTCCATTTACTCAACAATAACACATGATTATCCTTGTGTTTATTTATTTGTTTGATTAATAAACACAAGTTGGAGTCCATCAGGACCGAGGGACGGAGCAGCTCATTTGCTTTAGAGAATATTATACCCGGAAGTTAGTATTCTCTCCGCTTCGCTTGACAAACCCCGTGATAGTCCTCAAGCTCTGTGATTGGAGAGTGTGCTCCGAGGGTTACGCCGAGGGCCGAACAGCACTTGAAATGGGATGGAACCACGGCAGACTGTCCAACACTGGATTTGAACGGGTCCACCCCGTCCCCACCTCCCCCACCCCGTCCCCAGAACTACACATGCTGGCTATTGTGTTTCGCAACATGTTCTCTATCTATGGCACGTCTCTACTGGGAATTGTAGTTTTAAACAACGTTTTCATATTTCCCATAATAAGAAGTTGCCAGTATTAAACTGTGTACATCCCTGGAGGTTTAGGGGATAGGAAACACTCAAACACTCAAATGTAAAACATATCATTAATAAATGGGTGAAAATTGCTTGTGCCCATAATGGGCAGCATTAATATATATACCCACATGACAGCTAAGGTCAGAAGAGCTTTATTTAACAGCTGGTCTTATGTCTGTGACCCCTCCTGTTGTTAATTGATAAGCCTGAAACATGCACTTGTCAAGGTTCAGAGGCAAATTTTGTAAATATGGTAGCCATCAATCATCTTAAGATAAGATATACTTTATTGATCCCAAGTTGGAAACATTTGCGTTACATCAGCATGTGTAACAGTTGTAAATATGCAGTGGTGTTTATTTGTAAATCATTTAGTATAATCACACAAATTCTGTGTTTTATATTTAATAATTCTGTGTTCTTTATTTATTGATTGTTCAATCCCTGACAAGGCCGGAGATGAAATATCTACATACATCTTATAAGAGTATAATACATATGTATAATATCAGTTAAAATAAGTGCTTCAACATAGTTAACATTGCTGGAGGTATGCACAAATATTGATAGATGTCTTGTAATGCACTATTGAGGAACCTGCGACCCAAGTTTTTCATTCATTGCATAACTACACCGTTTGTGTATGATATGTCAATAAACCTTAGAAAATCTTGAAATCTTGAAAGGGATGTGCAAAATAGTCATTATATACAGTCTTTAATTAACTATTAGTAGAGAATAACGAGTAATGAATATACTTTATAGGGATCCTATTAATATCTAATAATAAAAATAATGAAATTCAATAACATGCTTTAACCACCAGGTGTCCCTTTCTATCAGCTGTGCACCTTTATTGTGTAAATACAGCCTATCTACCAATTGGATCAAATATAAAAGTCAGCCGAATTATTGTTGATACTGCGAAAAGAAATATAAGATGTTGTTTAATTGCTGATATATTTATGATCCACGTCACGTTTTCAGTGTTGGCGGCAGTTCCTCATGTTTGTCTAGAAGTCTTCTCATCAGGGCTCTATAAATAGAGAACTACGGCAGATATGTAATATGTAATGCAGCCGAACCGTCTATTACAATGCCGTTATGTGAGGACTTTCAAAGAGAAAAGTAAGCACACTCGGAATAAAGTATTATTTAATTTTTTTTAAATGTTTTCGGTCTGTTTCCGGTATTTGTTTATGACGATGTGATGTGAGATGTGAGACTGGAATTGCACAGGGGAAAATAACATATGCCACAATTTTAGATGCAGATTTTGTTCGGCCATGTTTTTTTTTTCTGCAGGGAGAAATTTGAAGATCACGTGACATAGACGCCAGCCATTGGAATGAATGGGGAAAAGAAACGTATGGATCTTACAATTTCAGAGGCGTTTATTTAGAAATACTACGTCCTACGTTGTAAACCAACGTAGTTATTACACGTTTTTTTGTGAGACTGGGTTGAAAATGCACTTCTGTACGTCTTTTATACATGAATATGTGTTCCCGGTGTGTCAGGGAACTCACCAAGTGTCAGAAAACACAACCCTCTCTCTTTTCCTCCATACCCAAATATCTCTCTCTCACTCTCACTCTCACTCTCACACACACACACACACACACACACACACACACACACACACACACACACACACACACACACACACACACACACACACAGCTGCCCCTCACAAACACACGCGCTTCAAATCAAGTTGCATAAATGCTTGAGCTACGTTTTTATTGTAATTAGCCTACTGTGAAATCTGTCTATTATGTTTTCAGCATTATTACAACAAATACACACTTGCAATGGCAATGATTTTATATTTATTAGACTGTTAAAAAAAAAAATCATGCTTCAAATAAGTGGGGATACGGCGCGTCCAACGCCCACTACACCTCTGCCTCCGCCTATATGGGCAACTCTCCACCTATCAGGAGGAGACAGCCACGGCCATTGCCGTTCTAAAGCGCTGGAGACGCTGTAGTACATATGCCAGGCCTGAAAGTGGCGCTGTAGTCTGCCACAAAAGCAGCGAAGAAGACCTCTCAGAATCAGCCCTTGCAAAAACAGGGCTAGAAAAGAGCAAATACAGCGAAATGAGGCATGGCTAAAATGCATGATCTGTTTGCAATTTTGAAAAAAAATCTTCACAGACATGTTTTATATAGGTATGGCTCTACAATATATTATTCAAATATAGCATGATAGGTCCACTTTAAGCAATATTTAGATATTTTATAGGGGACACAAGGGGTTGGCTCGCCATTTTCCTAGCTTCTTCTTGGCCTGCTTATGATCTGGTCTATGGTCTTTCAGCATGTTGTCCTCACTGATGGCTGTCCTGTCAAGCAGATTAAAATAAGGGTTCAATTGTTGAATGAATATTTAAGGCAAGGTCATCAATCATGTGGTTGGGATAGGACTGGTCAGTGAGGCAGGGGTTTTGTCACTGAACAAACTTGAATTTGAGAAATAATGCATCCCCAAAAATATTATTTGTGTAAAGACTCACCATGTTTCCTTGTGTCCTTGAAGAAATAAAAAGTTAGCACAACAATAATACAAGGTAGCACAAGGTGAGTTGGTTAATTATTCCTTTTAGGGGCCAATCCTTTGCTGGATGACATGATATTGAATATACTAATCACAAGGAGAGCTACTTAGCTGGATAATATAGCTAATATCTTCATACATTTGACAGTTTAGGGAAACAACAATATGGCAAAGAAGCTGTTTCATCTTAAAATAAACTGAAACATTTGCACAAGTCTGAGTTAGGGTTAATTTTTTAGATGTGTTGACCTTGTGGATACACCTGGGCCCAGACAAGTGTCACAAAGCTAATTTATGTTAAACGATACCTTCACAAAGCATGCATCTCAGTACTCATCATCATCATCATCATCATCATCATCATCATCATCATCATCATCATCATCATCATCATCATCATCATAAGAGCCTGTGACCCCAGCTGTTCAGAAGTAAATATATTTGCCTATCAAATGATCTCCTGTCCAGGACCCGGTCAGCTCTTTTTCAACAATGTGCCCCCCCTGTGCGCACCGTCGCGCCACCCCACTCCTGATCTGGCTGCTTTTCCAGCATAAAAGTGATGACTGGTTACAGGTCATGTGAGTTGGGGTGTGGGGGTTGGGGGGGAAAGGAAAGGGTTTTGGATGGTGGCAGTTGTTTTGATTTGTCCGAAATCTGTACTCTGACAAAAACAACAGAAATGTCCATGCTGGCCCTGCCCCCCCACCCAGCCCACCCTCGCTTTGGCCTGGCAGCTAAATCCGAGCCTTTGTGTCCCACATAGTTGTATGGATTTGTCAGCAATGGGGCAGGGGCAGTGGGGATGATGATAACCAAGCACGTTTTTCCGGTAAAGACGAATGGACAATTGACTGAAGCAAGGCTTTAAATGTAATTTGTGTTAAATAAAGGGCAGTTTGGTCATGAAGAAAGCAGTGAAATTGGAGGGTCCCAAGATAAGCCTTTTCTAAGAGACTTGCTCCGGATTAGATGTTGAAAGCCTCATATTAGCAACCCCCACCCCCACCACCAGCAGCACAAGTCTGTACAAAGAGGCTTGGACAGACAGACCACCTGCCCCTTAGGAAAAAGCGGTCAGCAAAACAAAATGGAAACAGCCACCATTGGGTGAATTAACGAGGCTCTTAAAACAGTGATTGTATTCCAGTAGACAAATGGTCTGAGTGGTATCACAAAATCAAAATTGTTCAAAGTGGAAGAGACCATTCTTAGCAGAAAATGAGGGGAGGATGGGAATATTCATCAGTAGCTCTAAAGAGATTACCAAATTGATAATCCACAGGCAGGTCTGATCACTGAGTGCTGGAGCTGATTGCAGAGTGAAAGTGAGACCCGACTTTCACTGGTGGTCAGTATGGACATAAAGGGAAGTCCAAGCAGCCCCTCTATACCCAAATATGCACCAAATACGTTTGGATTCATTCACTGTACACAATTTCACGGCTATGCGTCCAGTCTGGACCAAAGTTGTGGATGGACTGACAGCCAAACAAATGCAGCACTGCTATATCACAGTTAAAAACTTAAATTATAAAATGTTAACTGCACTTCAGTCTCAAAGTGAAGAAGGGGTTTCCTGCAAGCAACATTTCAGACTTTTTCCCTGAAACTGTAATATGCTGAAAGTATATGAATCCAAAATGTCACAAAACATTTAAATAACAAAAACATGAATATGTATCGTCTCTTGCTTACAGGTAAAGTACTCTCGGGACGGATTACTTTAATCTGTTGTAGAGAGAAGGTAAATGTGTGTTTTTGCCAGGATACATTTGAGTATCAAAGGTTTGCCACAACGCTTAAATCGGAATGATAGAAAAACAAATTGTTTGCGTGCTTTTTTTAAATCACCAGTACACACTGAGACTTTTACAGGAACTACAGAATCATACTCTCTACAAGAGCATTTTAGATTTAACTGTTAAGCTTCATTGTGTATTAAGTAGAATATATTATCTTAAGTAGATTTCTTAGCTGGGGTCATGAGTTTAGCTATCGTAAAAAATCCAATCCATGTTTGACCTTACAGCGTTTAACCACTGCAGGAGAATGCCCCTGAAGGACAATCAGGACAATCAGGACAAAAGATTGGTATTGATCTGCCCCCTCCGACCCAAATTCCACATCACTACGGACAGCATGTGCAGGGTCGCCTTGTGACAGTGTTAAATATTTGGTTTACATCCATGAAATGTGTCCAAAAGCAATGGGTCACATTTGCTTTGGTATCTGCGATTTAATGAAGGGTTTCACATTTTCAGCAATCAACAACCTGACTCTGAATACTACGGTTTTTTCACATGTCATTTAAAAGTCTGATGTCAAGGATTGATGCAGGATGTGTGCTGCATTGTAAGGTTAATCCGAATGTCAACAGCCACACAGATGGGCTGACGGATGAGTTTTTTTCCGTTTTTTTTTAGGGGGGGTGGGGGTTCCAAATCATCGGTGCCTGTCTGGTTACGACAAGTAGTGGGCTCGGGCAAAAAAAACGGAAAAAAAGTTGCAAAATGTGTCATGCTCTGATGTCATTAGGAAGGCGAAAGCAGAGCTGTAATCCTATTTTAATCGCAGTGGATTTATTAAACAGGAGCAGCAGGTTTAAATCTCAGCAGATTACACAGAAGGCCCAAGGAGATGTTGGGGGGGG